ATGGATTTGGTTACTGAAGCAGGGAGCATTCTGGGTGGATTGGAATTTCAACTTTCACACTGCCAAGTAGATGTTTTTCCTTTATTTTTATTTTGTACTTGTTCGAAAAATATTCTATTGAATCCACTGGTATATGTAACTAGTTAATTATAATAAAATATAAAAGTGTTAGCAAACGTAAGAATGTTATGCATCTTCCAACAGATATATGTATGTATACATATACACATACGAGTATGGTATGGTAATATGTACAATTTTCAGTATCTTAAAAGTGACAAGTTTTTTCCGTACGGTACCGTACGGAAAATTTAGATGATTTAAACAGAAACCAGGCTATTATTGTCTGCTAAAACTAAAAGTCGAGACTTTAAACACCAATAAATTTGAAAATGAAGAGAATTTAGTTCAGTCCTATATCTGAATAAATGAGAAAATGAATGGCGTAAAACAAATTTGAAAATCTATAAGGGGAAGGTTAGGGTTAAAATTGTGGTGTCTTTTGTTAGAATAAATAGGTAGCCCCCATAATTGCAGACTCGAAACAGTTGCCTAGAAAGATTGAAAACCAAGAAAAAGAAAAGAAATAAAACAAATGGAGAGATGTATGCTTTCGGTGGTTGACTTAAGTGGGAGCAAGCAAATGACAATTAGTAATTCCTTTTTATAGTTTGGCTTCATATATATATATATATTTCTACCGGGAATAAACTGCTTGGTCCTGTCTCGGGGACAAGCAAAATGGGAATAGGAACAGTACTTTTTTATTATGCCAAAAGAGAAAAGGCATTGTCTTACTCGATTCATGCACTCACAAGTCACCATATAGTAGTAGTATCTGACCCCACTCTTCTTACATGTATATGTATGTATATTATACACCAGACTCACAAGTCATAATGTAAATATCTGACCCCACTCTTTTACATGTACGTATATATCATAATAAATAATAACACAAAGTTGGCTCCTAAAGAAGAAAAAAAAAAAATCCTTTTGAAAAGCAGAAAAGTAATGTACCCATCAAGATCCCATGGTGGACCTCTGCAGCTTATTGGAATCATAAAAGGAAAAGCAAACCCCCCCCCCCCCCCTCAAAAAGATAATCAAATCTGTGATGATTACTCGTCGGACCTCCTCACTCCATTGTATTTGTCATTCATTTCTGACATTTTCTTTAGTCTTTTTCTACTCATAATTTTGTGACATTTTCTACAACTTAAAAAAACCAAGTGTGGGAGAGTCCCTGTTTTTTCTTCATCTTCTCCAAACTTGTCAAAAAGTAGATTGCTTTTCGATCGATCAAGACGGATGAGCTCCCCCTCTAATGTTCTTTTTTCTCCCTAACCCAATATGGGAAAGTGATATTCTCTCATCTCATGACACAAGAGTAAATTTCATTGCTGAAAACATAACTCGGTCCATTATAAGTTTTTAAAATGATAATCCAATCCAATCCAATCATCTTGTAGCAAACATATATATTAGGTCACTCTTAACTTCATAATTGATCTTAAATAATAATTACATTACTTTTAACTATTCAAAAATAATGTACGGAAATTTCTTCTTATAATTATTTAGTTATCTTGTCCTCACAGTATGCTAATTAGTAGGGTAGCTTGGCATTTACATGTCTACACCTAACTTCATGCCCATAGGTAGGCAGCCACTTATCTACTCACCAATATTTTAAGTAGGTTTCTAATCAAAATGACCTAAGTATCATGTTGGTAGGTAACAAAAACCATATGCTTTTTTGTTTCTTTCTAGTTGTTTTTTTTTTCATAACTTAATTTTGACTATAAAGTATAAATAAAATTGTAATAGGGTGAATTTAGATAATTTTTTTTTTTAATTTTTTTATTAAAAAATGTGTCAAATTAAGTTAATTTTTAGTAAAATCGGAGTATATGAATTTAAAAAGTGAAACTAGTGCAAATCCAATTTAATTATTGGGTTTTCAGATGCACAAGTTTCTTTAACAAATGTTGCTGTTTGAATTGTATATGAAATCCTTCTTCGTTCGAATATATTTAACGTATTCTTCCTCTTAATAGATGAGTAATGTACGGTCACATTCATAAGATTATTTTTTCTATCAATTTCTAAAATTTATTGTTTGTTTATATATTATACTTGATACCATGTTGGCGGATGGTAATAATGTCGGGTTTGAGTTGCATTTTTATGTATTTAATAAATATATTAAAAAATTTTTACTAATTGGCTTAATGTAATGTTTCTTCATTAGTATTTAGTCTTGTGAGTTATATTATCCTCGTATTTTCGTCTGAATTTCGCTAATGCTTAGCGCAAAATACTTATCATATAAGAGTATTTATAGGCTTACTTCGACAGGGTGAGAATAGATGTTTAATTTATTTTTGTACACTATAATTTAGAAGAGATATAAAGTATGTAAATTTAGTGTACTTTGAAAAAAGTATATTCTATTCGCGTTTTAGTTTTTTTTTTATTTTTTATTTTTTCTCATTATTTTCTAAATTTACTTATTGTTTTATAATTATATTTAATTTATATTTATAACAAAATGGTTATTGCATATGTCTTAGCTCACCTCTGTGTGAGAATATTATCATTATTTTCTTCTTCAAATATATATATATATAACTTTGTGTATAATAATTACAACTTTTTTTTTTTTGGTTTAAGAGGAAATAATTGTTACCCTTTTAAGACATTATAGTGTACATGATTAATTGTGTATTCAAACATTCAACAAAAACAACTTCGTAATCGCCGATGCTCGAAGAAAAGTGAATCTAGAGGTTCACACTTGCACCCCTCCCACGTGCAAAATAATTTATATTAGCTCCCCCCTAATAATTCGCGGATTATGAGAGACACCTGGACCCCACTTCCTCGAGATATCAATCAATCCATCTGGACCGTCCACATCAGCAAGTGGACCGACTGTTTTAGTGGGTACCACTTCCGGTCTCAGAAAGGCGGTGGAGGCCAGTGGTGGTGGTAGTTGATTATAATAGCACGACACGCATGATACGGAGTGAAAAGCCCAAAATACCCCTAAGGGTAAATTAATAGCAATCGACGGTTAGTATCCCTGGCATATTACCATAGTCCGCGACGTAGGAAATCATTTTCTCATCATTCTCGTTGCATGAAACGGACGTGGCCGTAACCACTGGACATTTGGTACCGTCACGCGCGCGACCGTGACTGTTACGTAACGCACTCAAAGAGACGATGTTATTACCGCGACTGCCACTGAACGACTGCTGATGGGGCCCACACCCAAAAAATACCGAATTTTATGTAAATAAATAAATAATTTATTTGTTTTTTTTGAACGAGGAACATGTTTTATGTGAAAAAAGAAAAAAGAAAAACAGCTGTGTTTGGATTACGAAGAAGGACAAAGTTTTTAACGGAATTACGAAAATGCCACTCTAAATGAGGACAAACCGCAAAGCCTCTCTTCATTTTTGGTGCTTACCAGTTCAATGGCATTTAGGCGTTAATCGCCTTCCACGCCAAAGACAAAATATTCAGTTTCAATTCTTTCCCCCCAAATTCAGCTGATTAAAAGCACACGTTTTCGTTGTGAGTGAAAAGTCCAAACTGTCATTACCCTCAATGATTAACTGAAGGTTCAGTAGGGGTATTATTGTCTTTTCAACTGAACCCTGCAGGTACACTCAAAAATATGGAGCGAAAGCAAAAATATTCGAGCCTTTTCTCACTACGCGACAACCACCGCCTAGTCTGATTTCTTCCGACAAATGTCAGCAACCCGGTTGTGGCGACACGTGGACGGTCGGATTTGCTTCCGCAGCCAGCGAACGAGAGACTGTTTCGCGCTAACCATGGTTAAATTCTACAGTTTCAAACTTTAACCATGGTTATGTGTCGCCGCTTTAAACTTATTTTTTTTTTTCTCTTACTTTTCCCACTTCCTTCGAGTCTCTCTCTCTTCCATGTCTCTGCATCTCTCTCCTTCTCTGTCTGGTTATGAAGCTAGGCTAGCCGCCTTAGGGGACTACTCTGCTCCGCTCACCCCTCATCCACTTGGTTGAGTCGACGTTTCGATTCGTTTTTCGTTGGAAAAGAATCACTGAATCTGCCGGAATTTTGTAGAACCGGATGGCAGTTCCTGGTGTTTTCTCGGAGATTTTCCTTGGAAACAGTCATAATCTTTCTGTATCTAAACTATCACCGGAGTGAATTGATTTGTATTTATTTTTCTTTAAGCTGAATCCAGCTCATGAAGTTCAAGTGCAGCTAATACAGATATATATCATGGTAGCTTCTTTGATAGAATAATTGTCGGTACTTGAGTTTTTGAATCCAAACCCTAGCCGTTTTGTTTTAGCTCAACTGCAGAGAGAAGCAGCGGTTTTTTTAGCTTCCATTCACACTTAAAAGAGAACAAAAGAAAAATTCAAAAAAGAAGAGAAAATTTTTTTAGGGGAAGAAACGAAGGGAGAACTCGAAATTTCCTCGGCAATGGCTGTGTCTACGGCTTCCAGAGAAGTGAGCATATCTTCTTCCGATAACCAGCAGATTCAGGCAACCCCACTAACAGTCGTTCCACAGAAGAAGAAACGAAACCTCCCTGGAATGCCAGGTAAAATTACTAGAAATCTCACCTCAATCTCGTTAACTGAATTATTGGGTTCTTTTTACGACACTGAGCTAACAATTTTTTCTTCTTTCTTTTTGATTATCATCTCGGTTCTCCTAGATCCAGATGCCGAAGTAATCGCTTTATCGCCCAAAACACTGTTGGCTACCAACAGATTCGTGTGCGAGATCTGCAACAAAGGTTTTCAACGTGACCAGAACCTGCAGCTTCACCGAAGGGGCCATAACCTGCCGTGGAAGCTGAAGCAGCGAACTAGCAAGGAAGTGCGCAAGCGAGTTTACGTGTGCCCGGAGCCCACGTGCGTGCACCACAATCCCTCGAGAGCTCTGGGCGACCTCACCGGCATCAAGAAGCACTTCTGCAGAAAGCACGGGGAGAAGAAATGGAAGTGCGAGAGGTGCTCGAAAAAGTACGCTGTACAGTCCGATTGGAAAGCACACATGAAGACCTGCGGCACTAAAGAATACAGATGCGATTGTGGAACCATTTTCTCCAGGTTTTAATTCGTCCCTTTATCATCTTTCTTTACTTCTATTGCGCTTTTTGGTTCTGGTACTTTTTATTGATGGCCTTTTTGGGTGTTGATTTTCTCATTTGGCTGGTGAAGGAGGGATAGTTTTACAACGCATAGGGCGTTTTGCGATGCCTTAGCAGAAGAGAACGCGAGGAGTCAGCAAACCCTAGCGGTTACGGGCGGAGAGGGGAATAGTGACCAAAATGCGAAGAGTGGTGTTGTGGTTGCATCACCCCCACCACCTCCCCTCACTCCGTCTACTACAATAGTATCTCCGGGTTTGTCGATGCAAAGCTCAGGTCATTTTCTTTGGTACTCTTACTATATATAAGTAAAAGTAAATGTAAGGACGAATAATGATCTCTTTTGCCTTCAAAACTTGTTTATTTGTTTGTTGTTCAAGCTTGAAGCCTCATTTATTTGGGTTGCTGGTTTTTTCAATGACAGTTTTGTCTCTTTTTGGTGTTGTTCTCGTTTTGATATAGGATACTTAGACAACTTAACCAAACGTGTGTGGGGCGGGGGGGGAGAGACAGCAAAGCTTTCTTTTTTTTTTTACATGCTTGGCGGTTATGTAGAGGGGGTTTGCATATTCTCAACAAGCACAAATATCGAAAAGGGGTTGGGAAGAAAAAGAGAACAGCCGAGAGAAAGGATACCGTTTTCGGCCATCCCTTTACTTCCCCTAGCGTTAAAAGTTGGGATTCCTGAAAGCTTTTGGAGAGAAACCTCTTTTTATTAAAACTCCCCTTTTTCCTGGTTCCTTTTTCAGGTGTTACACCAAGGCATTATTATTTACTCTCTCTGCATTCTATTCATAAGTTTCCTGTAGTTTAATCTCTCATGTTTGTTTTTTTTTTTTTTTGTTCGCAGAAATGTCAGAAAATTCAATGAGGGTGTCACCTCCAACGCAAGGCGCCATAACATGCTTATCCTCCACGGGCACAGCCACGGTCACCACTCCAAGATCATCGTGTTTAAACACTAGTACTGTCTTTGCCAGTATATTTGCATCATCTCTTCCTGCGGCAGCCGCTCTCGTAGAACCTACATCTCTTTCTCTGTCTTCATCTCTCTACCTCTCCAGCAATGGCGCCTCCTCTTCCCTCTTCCCACCGGGCGGTCAAGACCGCTGCCGCTACGCTCCTTCGCCGCAACCTGCAATGTCCGCAACTGCATTGCTCCAAAAGGCTGCTCAAATGGGTGCAGCCGCATCTAGTCCCTCATTACTTCGTGGCTTAGGCTTGGCCGTGCCTTCTTCTTCTGGTCAAGATAGCCATGTGACAGCTGAGGGGAACCCTGTTACTGCAGGTCTCGGGCTTGGGCTGCCCTCCGAAGGAACATCTAGCTTGACTGATGGTATTATGGGACCGTCCTCTCTCTTCGGCAATAGGCCGACCACTCTCGACCTTCTTGGTCTGGGTATCGGTGCCGGAGGAGCTTCAACCAGTGGACTTTCTGCTCTTTTACCTTCATTTGGAGGTGGGTTCGGTGTTGGAGCAGCACCGAGTACTTCTGCACCATCGTATGGGAGAGGAGGAAACTCGCCCGGACAGATATGGGAGAGCACACCTGAGAGGAAGCCTAATCCATCAGCCTTACTGTAGGAGCTTTCGCCTACAGCAAAAGCAGGAACTCTCCTTGTTTTCGTTTCAAGTCCTCTTTTTATTGAATACAAATAGTTGGATGTCAGAGAATCATAGAGCCAAGAACTACCTTTTTTTTTTTTTTTTTTTTTGGGTTTAGTCGTCTCTTCTTTTTTTTCCTTGGATGGTTAATATGGGAAAGCTGTGATGAAGGTTGAGGAAGAAGGGTGTACAGGAACTTTTCTAGTCATAGCTTAGTTGACATATATATATATATATATATTCATGGCAGAAAAACATTATATTTACTCCCTATACTCTATAGTCGCAGTGGTTCCATTTGTTTTCATAACATTGGTCTACTGTAATGGTGGGCTCGGGCTTGTATGGATACTGGCCTAACTAGACTCCATAACCTATGCCTAAGCAAAACACATATGGAGCATCCCCAGTACCCACACAGCGCTGAAATTGTAGTGGAATTTAACTGTAATTGAAAAACAAAGGATATTCATAAAGTGGGACTCATTAGTCAAGTCAAAGTTGCAGTGAATCCCTGTGTCGTCAGACTGGAAGATGATTTTAATGCAGTGAGTTGGCATATGCATTTATGGGTTATGAGTAATTACATCATCGTAGGACATTAGCTAAGTTTTATGTATGTATGTATGTATATATATATATATATCTTCTCCGCAGAAGGTTTATAATTTAAAATTGGCTAATTGCATTGTTAAAATATGCTAATCTTTAAAACACCTTATAATTCGATTTGCAGTTTGTCCGTCCAAAATTGAAGTTCTTTGAGACAAAACTCCATGAAAACCCACAAAAAATAGAACAAACTATACTCATTTATTTTTATAGAGTTGTAAATTCAAATCATTCGTTACATTTAGTATTTTTTATGTGTAAGTACAGTCTAATTATTAATATATATATATATGTAATGTAGAATAATTCATAAAATAATATTTTTATTGTGTTATAAAAATTATTTTTGATATAATACAACATATATATTTTTTATTTTATCAAATTTAAATTTTTTTTTTATACGCTATGGTTTATCTTGAATAAAATATAAATTTACACAAATTTTTACAATATTTATAAATTTATCCCCAAAATATTATTTAAGAACTAAAATAGAGCTAGCAGGCACGTAATCTGATGTTCCAACCCGACCCAAATTCAATCCGGGTCTTTCAATAAACGGGTCGCCTCTACATTGTTTTTGCAGACAGAACTCACCTCCCCATTGACTTCACTCTCAAATCTTCCAAACATTCAATTCCACCTGCTACTCCATCTCTATAAAATTCTCTCTTCTTCTTTCTCTCTCTCAGTGTTTCTACGTTTGAGAATGTATTTTCAGCTTCTTGCGATCTTTTCTCTTCTTCCTCTCCTTTGTCTTTTAAAATTCCTGCACTCGGTCATATGGATTCCATGGAAAATCCAGAAACATTTCAAGAATCAAGGTATAACGGGTCCTGCCTACTGCCCGATCACCGGAAACACGGTCGAGATCCGGCGTCTCTACGCAGAAGCTCAGTCCAAACCAATATCCGTTGACCTCCACAGTATTCTCCACCGCATCGCTCCTTTCTACCACGTCTGGTCTAGGAAGTATGGGAAGATGTTCCTCTACTGGTTCGGGTGTAAGCCCAGGCTGGCCGTATCCGACCCGGATATGATAAAGGAGATTGCTACGAGGACCGGAGGATCGTTCAACAAGATCCGGTTCAACCCTTTATCAAGGCAACTCTTCGCACAGGGACTTGTTGGGCTAGAGGGTGAGAAATGGGCCTTCCACAGGAGGATCGCCAACCAAGCCTTTACCATGGATCGAGTTAAGGTGAGAAGAAAAAATGGGCTTTTCTTTTATTTTCCGTTTAATTATAATGCGCATTGATGGTGTCGCTCCATTCCGTGGTTAGCTTGAGCATTGATGTATAATATGTAATAAGGAAGTTGGTATTGTCAGGGTTGGGTACCAGAAATTGTTGGCAGCACGGTGAAAATGATGGAGAAATGGGAGGAAATAAGAGGAGGAAGAGATGAATTTGAAATGGAAATTCATAAACAACTTCATGAGTTGTCAGCTGATGTTATATCAAGAACAGCTTTTGGAAGCAGTTTTGAGGAAGGGAAACGCATCTTTCTGTTGCAAGAACAGCATGCTCGCCTCGTTTCTCTGGCTTTGAGAAGTGTTTATATTCCTGGGTTCAGGTAATCAAACTTCTTTTACTTCCAATTTTATTGGAGTTCTCATAAACACACACACACACTTAGTTGATCAATGGCAAAGTAAAGATGTTGAGGAATATATTCTTGCCTGGTAGTTTTTGTTGGAAGATTTTGAGGAGAGCTCAATATAATATTTTATTGAAAATAGGAGGAAGAAGTTAAAAAAATTAATTGAAAAACTAAGTTTTTATCTGTGATTGTTGCTAAAAACCTACATGTATGTAGTTATATATAGTCACTAATACAATTTTTAAAATTTCAAATACATGAATGATATTTAACTCTAATTGATGAACTATAACTACTTAGGAAAACTTAAAAACTCGTATTAAAATCTAATTCATGAACTACAATCACCTATAAAAATTAAAAAATAGATATTTATATCTTTAACTTCATAAAGAGTCTCTAAATTATTATTTTAAACTCCTTAAATAAGTTTTCTTAATTTGTAAATTATTATTTTTTAACCCTTTAGAAGATAAAGAATCTCCTTTTAACTTGCAAATTATTATTTCTAACAGTTTTCACCTCACCGTGAACTAGTGTTGTAATTACTTGAGACTGGTTTTCATGCAAATTACCCAGGTTTTTACCCACCAAGAATAACAGAGAGAGGTGGAGACTTGAGAAGGAAACTCGTCAGTCAATAAGGACATTGATTGAGATGATCAGCAGGGACAAAGCCAGAGAAAATTCAAGAAATCTACTTAGTCTTCTCATGTGCTGGTACAAGAACGAGGATGGTGAAGAAGAGAGATTAGATGTGGAGGAAATTATAGACGAGTGCAAGACATTCTATTTTGCAGGGAAAGAAACAACTGCAAATCTTATGACTTGGGCTCTTGTCCTTTTAGCCTTGTACCCAGACTGGCAAAGCAAGCTTCGCGAAGAAGTTACCAATGTTTGCGGACCCAACAAATTTCCTACTGCAGATAAACTGAACGAGCTTAAACTTGTAATTGCTTTCATTAATCTTTATTACCCTTATACTCTTCTTGCTTGAATAATTAAAGAAAAGGTTAGTAATGTGATTGTGTTAATTAACAGGTAAGCACGGTGATCAACGAGACACTTAGGCTCTATCCTCCTGCAGTGATGTTGACGAGGGAAACATCTGAGAAAGTGAAGCTGGGAAACATTGACATTCCTGCTAAAACCCAGCTGTACTTGGCCATCGCTGCTGTACATCATGACACTGAGATATGGGGGGAAGATGCTAATGAATTTAATCCATTGAGATTCAAGGAGCCTAGAAAACAAACAGCAGCTTTTCTTCCATTTGGGTTGGGTCCTAGAACCTGCGTTGGTCAAAATCTAGCATTGGTTGAAGCAAAAATTATGCTGGCTATCATCCTCCAACGCTATTCTTTCGTCTTGTCACCAAGTTATATTCATGCTCCTATGCTGTTTATGACAGTGCAGCCTCAATATGGGACGCACGTCCTTTTTCGCAGGATCTCCAATTCATGACTTCTTTTTTTTTTTCTCAACCTTCAATCGAAAAGGTAAAAGATACCCAAGTCTCCCATTTAACTTTTATGTACTTTTCTTTACTTGTATATATTACCAAACCAGTAGAATTATGTTAAAATCTTGTGGGATAGAAGCTATGGTTACTTGGGTAGGGGCACTGTGACCATAGTTATAGAGAACCATTTATGTTAAAGAAAAAGATATCGAGATTATCTCAGTAATTCCTTATTATATTGTTCAAATTGCTTAAGAAGAAAGCAGAAGCAGTCCAGCGAAGGAGAAGCAGAAGATTAGATTTAAGTTTTTTCCAAACCCCTTTTTCTGAAGGCGAAAATACGGTCTCATTCAATAGCCACCGCCGAGACGACGCCGTTTTGGGAAGGGATTAAGTCTTCTTCCTTCTTCAAGGGATTCTGCGAGTTGCTGCGTTGACCAAACAATGATGATGCGTAACCTTTTGAAAATAGTTTTTACTTGTAATAAAAATTTATTTAAAATTTTTAAAAATTAATTTTGTTAAACATAAAATTTTTAATTTTTTAAATAACAATATATTGTTATATTTAACTATAAATATTTTTAACTAACAATTATTTTAAAAATTTACCGTATAAATTACAACTTATCCAAAAATATAATTAATTAGTGTTTTGGCATGTGTATATATATATATATTATAGTTCTATATATAATTTTTTTTTTCATAAATAACAACATGCATACAGATTTAAATATAAATTCATGTCAAAAAATAAAACAATATACCCATATAAATTATAGATGTTAGATTTGAAACGAAAACCTGCACGTCCTGTAATAGATATTTTAAATCAACGTGTGGTCATTTAAAGTTATCATACTCTCTTTATTTCTAACGAGGAAATAATATAATAAAAAAATTCTTACGCATAATTTGGATACCATAATTATTTAATTATATCATTACGTTTTATTTGATGCATTAAAATTTAATATCTATTTAATTTTAATAAATCACTTTCGAACGTAGTTCAATTAATTTGATAACTTCTTATGCACGTGTAAATTCGCACGGGTTAATTAAAAAAACTCAAGGTTATAATCTTTAATTTGGTTTAACCAATTTAGGGTTGAAATTCATTTGGGTAATACAATTTCTTTTTGGGGCCTCGAGTTACATAATAAGACCCAATACAAAATTAGTCACGTAATTGGCCGACGCAGTCCAAAAACAAAGTTTTGTATTTTGTCTCAGAACAGTTTTCTGGCTCTTCAATTAAAGAAGGATCAGTTCTGTTTTCTGCACCTACATTTTCCCATCTCCTATTTTATCCACAAAAATTTGAACTCAAAAAAACACACACACACATATATATATATATATATAATAAATAATTATTATTTCAAAATTTATTTTTTTGGGTAAAAATTATGGCGGTTGGGGGGGAAATACCAAGTTAGTGGTAATGGAATTAGATGCTCAACTGGTGGCTGAGCAGACCGACAACTCAAACCAAGTGATTAGATCACATCCACCGGTTCATATTCCATATAATATAAAGTTCCCATCATATCTTAAACCTAAATTTTGTTTATATATAAAAATATGATTAATTAGACACCATTTTAAACACAAATATTAATGTAATTAACAATTAATGTCAAACCCATTTCATCATCATACGATTGTCAAATACCCATTTAAGAATTAATTAATATACGTAAGCTGATTAATCAGTATATATATATATATATATATTTTTCTTCTGTTTTGATTATAATTAATATTTTGATCCAGACACATTCAGTTTTGTATATTGACGTCAAAATCGAATAATGACGCACATTTTTATTCATAAATATGTACCAAAGTTTTTAGGACATGGGTTGGATTTTTCTTTTCGAGTGAGGAAGTCAATCACCTTTTTTTGTATATTGACAAGTGAATATTTATTTATTTATTTTTTTTATAAGACATTTTTATATTTAAAAAAGAAAAGAATTTAATTTAATTTAATTTATTTGTTAGTAATTATTTATAATTTTATAGGATGGGAAGGGCTCCTATTTTTGTGCGTTTACCAGACGCCTTCTTCCTCCCAGGTCGGACAAACAACGGGAGAATTTCCCATATTGACGGTCGAACGACGTCGTAGTGAGGTGAGTGAAGCTAAATCCAAGGGTGAATAAGAGGCCAGTTGTCACTTTCCTTTACGACTCTTTAGGGTTTTCAAATTTCGCGTTAGCTAGCTAGCCGCCAACCAATTTTGTTTGGACCGATCATCAGGCAAAATCTAAGATTCCGGAAAAACATTTCAGCAGGGTAAGGATAGGTCGCTTCGTGCCTTACACACCGAAAACAAACCTTCACGAGATTTGACGTAATTAAAGAAAAATATAAATCTTGTTTTTTTTTTTTTTTTCAACGGTGAAGAGTGGATAAAGGGGTAGAATCGGATTTCTGTGGTATTTATTTACTGATTTGTTCATTAAGACCTGCGTCTAAGCTCTTGCTCCTGGAATCTTGGGTTAGGGTTTGCATCATTTCTTCTTGTGCTTTCTCAGTTATAGGTATGATTTTATCTTCTTTTTTTTTTTTTCAGTTCCGCTCGCCTATCTTTGACTTTGATTTCTATCAAGATTTCATTATTTTTTGTAATCGCCTGTTGTTTTCTGATTATCTGGGACTAATTATGTAAGGGCACCACTTAATCATCTTTTCTTTTATTTCTTGATTATACGTGTGTGTATGTTACAGCGAAAGGAGAAAAAATTATTTATCTAGGGTTTATGCTTCAGCGATTCTTATTGGATCGTGTTTAAATAGTGTTATTATTCAAGTTTGGAAGGAACCCGCAGAATATTATTATCGGATCGTTCTAGTGAATCGATTGTTGCGAATTGCCTTTACAAAGGCGTAAAGGTCGTTTTATGTTTGAATTTCTTCTGAATTATCACTTAAGTAATTATCTAATTCCCTTATGTTTTCCTTTCAGGCTTACTTGCGAATTTCTGTTATGCGTTCTGAGCCAGAAGAGTGATTGTGTCTTTAGTTCGTATTGGACTGTATGCTTTGGAAGTTATGAAATATTCTCTTTTATGTAGTGGTACTGTTGTGTTCTCTGTAAGAGACTCGTTCAAGCAAAACTGTTTTGCTTAAGTAGATAAGATGCCACCTACTTATTTTGCAAGACTCAGAACTGCTGCTAAGAACGGAATCCAGAGACCATTAATTGGTCAAGAAGGCAGGTACCAGGACTCGCTTGAAGTTTTAATTGAGCAAGGAAAGTTTGGGCTATGCAGTAATAGGCTATTTCATTCTTCACAACTTGTGGCACATACAGACTCGAAACTACTTTTGCGACCTGGAACTGTTTTTGCTGCGACAGATTTGCTTTTATTTAATCAAAGAAAGAACCTTGCTGTTGTTGGAGCACTTTCCCGCCCATTCTCGGTTCCTTCTGTGTCTGGCCCGACATTTCAGGTCTGTGGTTATCACGTTGATCGCGCTCTCTCTGAGTCTTGTCAATTATCAGTAAGCAGCAAGTTTCAGGGTAAACCAATGGCAGGCTGTGGTTCTAAAGCTCTGCTGGGTGAAGTATGTTTAGATAGTTTTTATTCAAGGTGTGCAAATCCTTCATTATTTAAAAGCAATGCTGGTACAGTTTCTAGAAATACATTAAGTTTGTATAGATGCAGAAAAACTAGCATGAGCTTGAAAAGCCAAGAGCAGCCTGGAAATTATTCTGTTTATGGATATTTAATGTACAATGCTGCCAAAAGATGGGTGAATGTTTGGCCATACACAGAGTCAGGATTGAGATATTTTCATATCTCATCTTCTACATGCTTTTCTGCTGGAACTGCCCCTGATGTGTCATTTGACAACTCTGCCCGTGAAGAGCAGGTCGCAAGTTCTATAGAATCGTCAGAACAGTATGTTCTTAGATGCTCCCTCTGTTGTCCTGTTACTTACTGATCCCTTTTACATGGTTGATTTATGTCGCATGATCTAGTGGCTTTTGGAAGCTTCTATGAACTATTTATGTATTCTTAGATGTGTTCATTATCTTTTCCCCCTGAATAAAGGTCTTCTTTAGAGAGACAAAAAGAAAATAGAATGTTGCGAACAGTGCATGATAGGCCTTCATCATGTTTTTATCATTTTATTGAACTTTTTGACTGGTGGACATGTTCCAGTTAAGACATTTTATGGTGAGAGTGACTCATAGTGCTCATGGATGTTATGCTGGTTGAAATTGGCTACAGGAAGATACCAGCTGGCAAAACCCTGAAGCTACTGTCAGGATCCTGTTACCTCCCTCATCCTGATAAAGAAGAAACTGGTGGGGAGGATGCACACTTTATTTGTGTGGCCGAACAAGCAGTGGGTGTGGCAGATGGTGTTGGTGGCTGGGCAGATCTCGGTGTTGATGCTGGGAAATACTCTCGGGAACTTATGTCGAATTCTGTGACTGCAATTGAACATGAGCCAAAGGGTTTAGTTGATCCAGCAAGGGTCTTGGAGAAAGCTTACTCCAGCACAAAGTCCAAAGGTTCGTCAACAGCATGTATCATAGCACTGACAGACCAGGTATTTATTTCCTTTTCAGGAATTTTTTTTTCACTTGCGTTTATTCTAAGGAAGCAATGAGCACCTTTTTTTTTTCTCTAGCAGTGATTTGATTGGACTATGGTTACCTTTGAATTTTTCTGTTAGTATGATATACTAGGACAATCTGAGGACTTGCTTGCCTAAATGTTTTTATAATAGGTTGTGTAATACATGCTAAAACTCATAATGTAAAATTTTCGGGAAGACAGTGGTTTAACAATGGACTGGTAATACGAAAACAAGTCGGTGTTCTTTTAGAATCTTGCTTATTACACAGTTAGGAAATATTGGAAAGAATAATAGCTTGTGGTCCTGCAGTAGATTTGTTCTTTGCGTCACAGTGCTCCCATGATATATCTTTTGTGGTTTGTTGACATAACTTGAGTAATGGATTTTGTTTCGCCCCAGTCCATTTTGTCGGAATATATCAATACTGCAGATTCTTAATGCAGGGTCTTCACGCAATTAATTTGGGAGACAGTGGCTTTATGGTGGTTCGAGACGGATGCACTGTATTTCGATCCCCTGTCCAGCAGCATGGTTTTAACTTCACCTATCAACTCGAGAGTGGAAATAATGCTGATTTACCTAGCTCTGGTCAGGTTTGTTATGCATGTCCTCTTCATGCTCTTTATCTTTAAACTTTTGGTATTGAGCTGTGGCTGAATTAATTCATGATATTAAGGATACCAATGTGAATTCAAGTTTTAATATGATAGGATTTGCCATCCTCGAGGCCATTTTTTCCTCATAGTAATTCAATATTAGAAAGTTTTCCTGTTACCTTGTTCTATATTTGAGAAATTAAATAAGATGGATGCCTCATGTAATAGAGGTTGCTTGAAACTCTTTACAAGTACAAATATATTACTTTTAGGCTCCTTGTTACATTCATTTGTCTTCTTTGTTATGTTTTTATCTTTCAAGATTTTATGGTCATTGGACAATGACTAGAAGATGAAAAAATCATGATTATTTGGTAATTATAACGTAGTTGCTTAATTTGGAATTGCTCTTAGCTAATTGTGGTTTTTCATTTTAGGTTTTTACAATTCCTGTTGCTCCTGGGGACGTTATAATTGCTGGAACAGATGGCTTGTTTGATAACTTGTACAACAATGAGATTACTGCAGTTGTGGTTCATGCCATGAGAGCTGGCTTGGGACCTCAGGTGACAGCACAGAAGATAGCAGCATTGGCACGTCAACGGGCACAGGATAAGGACCGGCAAACACCTTTTTCCACTGCTGCACAAGATGCTGGATTCCGCTATTATGGTGGCAAGCTGGATGACATCACTGTTGTTGTTTCATACATTACTGGTTCTGATGAGGTGTGGCTCTTGTTCTGTTAGACACGCACATACAATTAGAGTTGCTCCTTCATTTGTCTGTTTTATGAGACTCAACCTTGACCTATTGTGGATAAGGTTCATGTGCTATCACAAGGAACTGTGGGATTTGCTGAAAATGAATAGTTAATTTAAAAGTAATTTTGGTTGTGGCATTAGCTAGACTATCTGCTGTAGCCCATAAGTCGATTGGAAGTTTTGGTTCTTGGAACCGGGAGTAAGGAGATTCGCTGATAGACCTGCAAATAAATTTAGTTCTTGTTACATGCATAAAACTATATCAGGAGCATAGTTATGACTTGTTAAGTCGATTGGAAGTTTTGGTTCTTGGAACCGGGAGTAAGGAGATTCGCTGATAGACCTGCAAATAATTTAGTTCTTGTTACATGCATAAAACTATATCAGGAGCATAGTTATGACTTGTTAAATCCTTAGCACAACTGGCTAATGGTAGTATAAGTGCTGGAAAAAGTTGCATTCCCTTAGTTGTTGAACTTGAACTTTTTTCTTTCTTTTGAAATAATAGTTATTGAACTTTAACACTGACATACTTACGTGTCAAGATTCAAATGTTCCATTTGAAAACGCACTCACAAATGAGACAAGGTGCTATTTCGTTCCTAACAATGGTTGGAACATCTTGATTTCATGGGTATCGATTCTCCTCTCTTTGGATCACATACAGAAGCTGTAATTCATGCAAGTATTGAGCGGGGTTTATAACTCTGTCCAAGCTCGAGGGGAGCTTGTGCTTTTCCGGCCAATAAAAATGTCTTCACATATCAACTTATTTATTTAGCATAGATTGCTCTCATCCTAGCTGAGTTTTTGCAGTGCCCACATCGCCAAATTTCTCTGCATTGAATTTAGTGAAGCGTAGCTGCATGATCTTTTTAGAGTGAAATTTTGGTGTTGGTCATCTGGTCGAGTATCCTTTTTCTTGTTATCAATTGAGTACATATATATTTTTTCATAGGACACTGACATTTGTTTTTTCCTTATGATGCAGGAGAAGAAGTCGTCTTAAGGACTAATTTTCCTGAGTAATCCTGTTAGTAACCAATTTTGTCATTAGGGAATCAAATATTACTCGTGTACGTACGTACATTGGTGGATTGTGCAGCCTCTGTTTTAGTCAGTGCTTTTCATGTGGTGGTTGAGGTGCTGTATTGAGATCTTGGAGGGGGAGATTATATCTAGATATGTTTTACACGTTCAAACCACAACTGTCTGATTTGTAAATAAATATTCCTTGTTTTCTTTTTTCCTCCTTATTATCTGTATATGACAGTTTGCGTGTGACAGCAGATATAGACGAGACAGTATGACTTCGTTTATGCCCGCCTCCACCTGCCATTCTGGCTGTTTTGCCGACAGTGCCCGGCAGACATGGCTTACGTCTTGACAGCACGCAACGAGGGCATGTTTTTGTTGCATGGTGGTATGTGGGATGTGACAGGAAGACACTTGGCAACCAAATCAATCAGGTTTTTCCCGACAGCCATCAACTGTAAGACCTAATTTTAAAGACTTGGCTGTAAAAATTGAATTTTAGAAAGTCTAATCAAAGTTCTAATCTTAAATAAATGCTTCGTTATTAACATTCAGAAGTAAATTTTTATAAGTTTAAGAATATTTTTGACGTTATTTTAATGGTGCTCTCTCTGAGGACAGGAGATTTATCATACTTTTTATGAAAAATTTAAATTTGAAATAAGTTAATTTACTAAAGAAAAGGTGAAGAGCAAGTTAAATTGGTTTGAGGGAAATTTTGCTTAAATTGTGGATTTACAATCTATTAAGTTGGATAATGGAGTGGAGGAACACACACTTAACCCCGTATGTTGTATAGTGATAAATAATAGTCTGATTAATGTATGGTATTCAACGGACGTGATGAAATCTTATTTGTTTTAACTTTCAACCTGATAAGATGGTAGTAAACGGTATCCGACTGACACATTTTAAACGAATTTTAAAAACAACTTGAATCGTTAGTATGTGACGGGTATTTTCTGTTATACCATACTAAATAAATAATTTTTTAAAATATATTTTAATTTTTTATTTTTTTAAATAATTTTAAATTTAATATAATAATATATAATTATAATAATTTTATTTTTATTAAAATTAAATTAATATGATAATATAAATAATAATTATTTATTTTATTAAATATAAAAATTTAATTTAATTATACGTAATAATTATTTATTTTAATATAAATTTAATTATATTTTTATATAATTTATTTTTTTATTACATATTTTTTATAGATTATTTACTATTATATATAATAAAGTACGGATAAATTATTAATTTAATTAAAAATATAATCATATCATCCTATAATTCAAACAAAATAGCTGGCGTTAACATATATTAATACACAATCATCAACATATAACAAAATTTTGTCATTCTCATCATGTACTATTGACATCTAATAACTATCATTGTCATACGTTAATTACTCATTATTAAAATTTATTCAAACAGAGCATAAGAGACATGAAAATTACTGCGAAGAACTTCACAAAATTAAAATGAATGTTAGAACATACTATATTCGTAAAGTATAAATAGAATTCTAAAATTACGGATAATTATAAGTCTGTTTAAGTTATTGGTTTCATTTAAGAGGCAACATAACACTTTTTTTAGCAGGAATTTACAAATAAGTTAGCAGAACTATTGAGTTTGCTTAATACTTAATTTTTTTCTAAGTATTCATTAGTTCCTTTAGATTCTTAAAATCTACAATCAAAATTTTTTCCCTTTCTTCTTCTCTAGAAAATGAAGATGAACAAAATATATTTTTAAAGAAAAAAGAAAAAAAGAAATAAAAAAGTCCAGACAAACCGAACCTACCTTCCTATTCGATCATTTTCTATGCTGGAAAAGGCGACTTCTGTGCAACAATCACCATTTCTCTCTCTCTCTCTCTCTCTCTCTCTCTCTCTCTCTCTCTCTCTCTCCTTCTAAACTATTTCCTTGTGTCTCTGTTTCATTTTAAACAGAGACAGGAAACCCTAAGCTAGGGTTTCAAGATCGCCAAGGGATAACGCTTTTAGTTTATTAATGCCAAATTGAAGAAAAGAGGGGAGCGTTTCCGTTTCTTCTTCATCTCCTGACTTCGGGTGCTAGTTAGCTGGTGGGGTCAAAGCCATGGCCGGTCGCAGAGACAAAGGCCAAACGCTTCGTGGATCTCGAATCGCAGTAGCCATTGCCATCGGAATTCTTGTTGGGTGCATTTGCGCTCTCGTGTACCCTAACGGATTCTTCAGTGGTAATTCGATAACCCAAAATCGCCGACTCTCCAAATCAAGTATTCAGGTTGAGATCTTGGTCCCCCCTAATACCTATGCTTCTCTATAAGGTTACATTCTCCTCCCGCCGTT